ATTTAAGGCTGACAAATATTTAAAATATTTCTTTACTTTTATTAGAAAGGTTCTTTATGCTCCAGTTTGGTTATTAACGGAGGTCTTTGTAATCAAACTGCATGAGCAGTTGGCCATTAGGCGTAATTCAATATTCTATTCAAGCTGGCCACAAAAAAAAAAAAAAAGAGAAGCACAGAGCGAACAAAGGACCACATGCGAGGGTCAGACAATTACGGCTGCTCTAATATTTGCTAAAAGGTTGCAAAATTCCTTTCCCTACTTTTTGTTTTCATTTTTTGTTTTTAGTGAAACTTGAACCCTGTTTTTCCTTCATTTAGGGTTGCCATAAGGACCATTTTCGGGAATATTAACCCTGGACAGGAATATATTCAATATTATTAATTTGATTTGTTTTCTTCAAGGCTTACCTAGGCAGCTAATATGCCTTACCAACGGGTCTGCCCTAGGCATCTTGTGTGACACATTTTTGGCTAATGGATTGCGGTTCACCTAAGGTAGGTTTTAAATTTAAGTAAATTTTAAATACTGATTTATTTCACACTTTATTCTGCACGAAAATAAACTAGTCTAACCCTTTTTTTCGGCAACAAAAACTAAACTAACAATTCCTTAAGCACTATAAAATGTGTAAAGGCTTATACTTATTATCCTGAAATAATAAGCATACTTTTAAAATTTCAAAACATTCGTTTTTAAAGACTATGCTGGAAATATTCAATTTATTTTAGCTTCCTACTTCATACATTTTCTTTTGCCAGGGTATTTCCAAAACGAAAAAATGTTAGTGCAATGTTTGCATAAATTAAGCACCAAAGAGAATATCCGTTCGAGCGCGAATAATACAAATGAATTCGATTTGTGAAACAATAAAGCTCAATGCACTCTCGCTGATGGCCAATAATGACGATGGTGAGCGCCGCTGCGATTTCAAATCAAATAACATCACGTATACGCGGGGCTGTGCAACCAGTGCAAAATACTTATTTGCCTACTACGAACGTGACAAATAATGCACCGAAATTTCCATTTCCATTGTCGACCGGAAAGAGTTGATATCCCGGCATAATGCCTCACGTATCCATCTCCATATGCAGCCTGACTTCCTGCTGGGGTCCTGATAAAGTTTCGCCCATAATCCCCATTAAGACAATGACAGTCTCAAAAGTTACTTCCTTGGCATGGAACGTACGTAAGTGCCGAAATAGGCCCGAGTATATTTATTTTATTGTACACCAGAAACTCGCAAACTGGTGATGAGAGTTTGCCAAATTATTGTCATTAGTTTTCTGAATGGGAACGGCCACGCCCCCGCCGCCCTGCTCCGCATGTGTGGAGGATGCGATGAGCTTGTTAGGTCCGTATGGCCCGGGGAGGAGAGGTCTGCATCCTGTTCGGTATGGTATTTGCCAGTTAATTAGGCGATTCGGCTGGAGCCCCAGTGCTGGCGGCATCTCTTACCATCTGCCGATATCTGTTTTAGTTGTGTGTTGGCCAAAGTTTTCGGGCTAATGTCAAACATAAACAACTGGTGATGGAGGTGATTTCTGTATCGACTTTTATGAGACTTTAATGATGATGTCGGCGCTGTGTATACATGTCTGGTTGAAGGTCAAAAAAAGCTAGTAAATATTGAATTTACAATAAATATCTATATAATTTAAATATTTCAAAGTAATTTCCTTCATTTTTGTTTGCAAACACCTTGCTAATTAACTGTCCATGCCCAGAGAAATGAAACAAAAAACCCATCGGGCATATTAACACAATTTCCTATCTGCGCCCTGGTTCCACTTCCGAAGGATGCACCGTGTCCTGTCATTTCATGGCTGTGCGAACTTGAAAGTTGCTCCCAGCTGCTTTCCCCCCCCTTCGTGTCACACTTTTTGCCTCTATGTCACTCGCTCACGCACAGTTTATTTTCAATTTGCTGTTATGAAAGGAGCAAAAAGGCGTTAAAAATTGATTTGCACGCTTCTGTGGCATCAGGCTTCGGGCTCAGAATGTTAATCACAACGTTAATTAATTGGTAAATTGTGTTTGTAGCTTAAATTATATCACCATCGTTTCAGGGCTTGAAATAACACAAAGTTGTCTATAAATGTGATAATACGTAATGAAATAAAGGATTAAGCTGGGTTTAATTGCAGTGAATTTACAAGCGGAGGGCCGAATTATCACAATTTATATTTATTTACTATGAAAGAGGCTTACCATAAGGGGAACGGGTTTGTAAAATGTAATGTTTGCTCTTTAAACAGGGCTTATTTCATTGCGTTATGTTTAAGTAATATTGGGAACATGATTTTTCATTGAGTTACCTTCAAAAATAATAATTTATTTACATTTATTAAAGTTAAATATTGTTAAGTTTGATCAAATGTCTCCCCTTAAAGACTTTAAGGTTATTCTTATCTTTGTAAGTGAGTCGCCTTTGACCTAATGTAAAATTACCTATCATTGGCCTCCAGTCTGAACCCTCAAATGTACTGTGAGGGACCATGTACCTTCTCAAAATGTATCTCTTTTTGTTACCTCTATGCACAACCAATTTCAATTAAGAAAAGGAAATGCCCCGCCCTTGTCATTCCTTATATTTTGCCCAGCATCTCGCATATGAGACAGCCAGCAAATATTTCCTCAGCATATTGGTCAAACAGCAATTTACTTCAATTAACTGAGAAATAGATGCACAAATGGCTTCATTTGGCTGCACTTAATTAGTCACTTGGCCAACGGTATTGCAATATTCAATAAATAGTGTGACGGGTCCAATGACAGATGGCTGCTGATTGGACTGCGCTGCCGAGGGAAGACAATGCCGACTTCCAATTAAAAGAGTAGCATTTTTGCGCAATTAATTTTCAATTAAAGTTGGCACGAAAGTTTTTTACCCCTCTGGCGGCTGGCTGAGTGCTTTTGAAAGGAAACGGAAACGTCACAATTACATAAGTAAACAAACACTCTTCAAGGAGCTGTGCGCAGCTCTTGGAACAATGTGCTACAATTTAGCATCGCCTTTGAGCTACGTCCTCAGTGCTTATTCGCCACTCGGTACAGAGAAAACAAAATGTTGCACTCTAAAAGTTTAAGTTTTATTTAGGTTTTTGTTGACAAATTAAATGAGGAATGAGGATGTGGCTTTTATGATGAAATCATAAAATATAAATCTAATGAATCTTAAACTCTAGACATCCAAATGAATACCAGCATATTACACATATATTTTTCTCCCTGTTTACACAGTACACATCGCGCCACGCCCGTGGGCGTAATAAACACTTGACCCATAAAACTCACAAGTATGTGCTCCACTCGCTCCTCCCCGAGTGCAATGAAGTCCAAGTGAAGTGCGCACGTGTGGGGGAATGGGAATGGAGCTGGGTTTCCGGCTATGCTATGCTAATTTGGCCATTTGTTTTGGCCTCTCCGGGTGACGCTGACGCTGACGGAGACGGAGATGTCGATGTGGACCTGTTCAGAAGCTGGGGTATGGCACTTGCTTTGTGCTTCACCGCTCTGCAGATTACGCGAACGCTTAACTTTGCCGTTTTGCAATTAAAACACTGAATCGGTGTGGGTTCTACTCGAATGGAACGCCGTGTAAAATGTTTTCTCATTTATTTTCAATTTCATTTAACTTTTTTCCGCCCGGCCATTTGCTCGATGTCACCGTGCACTGAGCAAGGAGCAATGTGCAATTGCGAGCGGCAGGACAAAACTTATAATTGGTTTTAGTGCTTATTTATGCCGCATTTCTTTCAAAACGAATACTCTCATTCAGCGGGAAGTGGTGAAATATAAGAAATCAGTTGTAGTTATTTATTTAAAAATCACAACTAATGTTTCTAAAATATTCAATAAAAGCCAACTATTATTTTCAGTAAATATATTTTGCTAAAATTTGTAAATCTCGTTCACAGAAACTAAAATCACTGTGGTTTCCCGGCTTCTATTTCAAAATGAAAGGCATTTATTATGGCATGAAAGTGGTAAGGGCATGTAATATTCTTCGCTTATTTAACAACAACATTCCCTCTTCATCCCCCGGACACACTAAATGCAATTACAGCATAAATCTCTGTCATTAGACCACGTTTGTAGCACTCCGGCCGAGAAACGTAGTCGAGGTCCGTTCCGAAGCCCGGTCACCTCTCACCGAAACCCACCAAGTTGAACCGTCCAGATTGCGGTTGCTGCGGCATTCACGGCGTATGAGTTATGTTTGCTTTCGCTCTGTACAAAAGTTGCATACAATGCTGAATATTTAATAAAAAACACGGGCAGCAGTTTAAGAGCTAAGCCCAACACAATAGCGAACGGATACAGAGGGGTGTGGACCGCAAAGGACTTGCACTTTTTAGATTTCACGCACGCTCCCCCGTACTAAAACATGTCGCTCGATGTTTTATTAACTCGACTCTAAGTCCCCTCGAAACACAGCGGAAAATCTCAGCTGTCAATACTTGCAGATATTAATCAGAGTAACTCCGTTGCCGTCACCACACTCACTCAACCCCGCAAATATGCGGGGCATTATACGATAGGCACATGGGAGGCATATTAAAAAAGATACGGAAGGCCTCAGGACACACACACACACACACATCAATCTGCCGCAGAAGGAATACTTCATTGACAGGTGTCGATTAAGAATTTAGTATTATTTTTGCCCTTCCGCAAAGCATATAAAAAATTTATTACACGCACGAAAACACACAAACGTGTCGCATTTGCAGACATACTCGTATCCCCACCCATTCCTGTTGGCCAACCGTGCAGCGGGGACCATCGATTGGCACTTGGAAGTGCGCTTATGTCGTGACATGTAAAATAAATCAAGCCGGGGACATGCTTCTAGCCTTCTTGACAGAAAAGATCGGAGTCAAGGTTGTTGGAGGAGAACATCAACCGTCCGTCCAGATTTCGCAGTAACAGATGAGACCACCGATGCTTTAGTGCTAAACAATTTATTTACGAGTAATATAGATCTATTCAAATTTATATTTTTTAAAGTGCTTATATTTATGTGCTTCGATTACAGGATATATAATTGAATGGTGGACTTATAAATCTAATGGTGCGTTCAGTTTGGGCAATTCATGATAGTGCTTATGGTTTCGTTAATGAATTCCTGAATATATAGCGGAGATATATTGGTTGCAGTAAGCATTTGCTTACACTTTGTAACGTACTCGCCTGGACCTTCTGTTCTACTAATTACCCCCACTATGCATCTCGTATCGCCGCATTTTACAGTCACTCCACTCCCACTGTCGCCTTGACACATTTTGGAATTTCCCTTGAGAGTCACATTGAAATCTCCATCAATATATCCCGAAATTTCGCCAATAACCTTCGAGAATCTGTTATCCTCCCAAGCAAACACCGTGGCATCACTTTCGTTCAATGGCTGGTTTTCGTAGTCATATGGCAGACAGATAACTGCCTGATTTTGCTGACGTTCCATGCGTTCTTTTAGGACAATAATACCCACATCGTATTTGTGGGTAATAGGATCATACGGCCTGAAAGAAAACGCATTTCATTTTTAGATTTAAGTATTGCCCATTGAGTGTGGAGGTTAAGTTTTTCTTTAGATTTACTTACGGATATACAAATATTCTTTTAACTGGAACCCTTTTGGCTGTTATGGATAGGTTGCCGGTTATGCCAACTGAAACGTCCGCCGTCGCGTTTTCGAATTTTGAAATACAGTGGGCTGAAGTCAACACCATATCCAGGCGGATCAGATTTCCAGTGCACTTGAAATCGAAGTTATTAGTAGTGGTGTTTCGTAAAAGAATGGGTACAACCCAGTGGGCTTCCAGGGTGCTCGTAGGACTCGCGTCCTTCATCATGGGTTGGACAACATGATTGAGGCGAGAATTGCAATCAAAATGGCAGATTTCATTCTGTGCTCGACACAGCTCCTTAAGGCCATTCCAGGTCCCATCCTCGGAACACGTTACATTGGGCCTAACAGCAGTTTTATGTGTAGATCCAGGGTAGCAATCAAATTTAACAAGTGTGCCGGGAATTAGCGATTTTTCATCCTTGCAACTAACAAAGCTATCGCCGTTAAAGCATTTCGGTTCTAATGTATACATTCCGTTTATCTGCTCCGGTGGGCAAAGTTCTGAAAGAATGAACATTTTATAGTTAAAATGAAGTATAAGCTATTGACATACGAGAGTTTTAATTAAAATAAAAAATAAAATGAAAACATAATCCATTTATGCTTAATACTTACTAACGCAACGAGGATGGAAGTCTTTAATGCTCCATTGTTTATTATCCTTGCATCTAATCGTATTGCCGGATAAATGATATGGCAGAAACTCGTATCCTTCGCGGCATTCAAATTTCACCTTGAGATTATTGAGTGGCGGTAAAACGGTTTTTTTATGACCCAAAATTTTCATGGTCTCGGAGTCGTAATAATTAATGGGACAGCCGTTAGTTCCATTTGTGTCTGGATCGAGGTTGATCCGGATGGGTTTGCAGGAGGGGAGCTCGTGGTGCCAGCTGCCGTCGTTCTTGCACACATTCCAGGAGATCTGGTTGGAGTTCCAGCACTCCATCTCCGCCGGCTGATTGGCGTAAACAAAGCGCTTGGAGTGGCTCTCTATGAACTTTGTGTTTTTGGTGAACTTGCGATCTTGCGGCTCGTAGCAGACCTTCGGCTCGACCGCTACCCAGTTCTCCGTGCCCTTGCAGACGGAGGGCAGCTCATCGGTGCCATCCAGGCAGTCCATGTGATTATTGCACAACGAATCTTTATCGAGTATTTGTCCATTGCCGCACCGAAAGCACCCTATACACTCTTCTATGCAGAACTCCAGGGACTCGTCCAAGCCGTTGCTGCAGTCGATCTCGTGATTGCACAATTTGTACTCTGGCACGCACTCTCCCGGAAGGCACTCGATGGAGTCCCTGTCAAGCATAATATTTTACATTTTTGAAACAATACAATTTTTGTTTAATTCCTACTCATCTGCGCAATTGCCTCGATATCTGGAAAGCCATTCGTTGTTGGCGCATAGTTTCGGTAGCTCATCAGTTCCATCCAGACAATCAACTATGCGGTTGCAAAAGAACCTTGGTGATGTTACCTCTGCCCCGTTGGCACAGTGGGTCTCTTCATGCTCTGTATTTGAGCCCTTACATACCGTGAATGATTCATCGCTGCCGTTCGGACAATCTGGCTTTAAATCGCAAATATCGTTAAGGGATATACAGCTGTCGTCTTCCACACACTGGTGCTCTTCGTCACTGCATTTTTCAGAATACCCAAAAGCTAGTATCAAAATTAAAACAGCCACCACTGAGCGAGAAGACATTCTTGATCGGTCTAAAGCCAAAACTCTACTGAAAGCAGTCGATAAAATTGAGAAATATACATACATATTTACACATATATGTACATTCATATATATAGTATTTAAGTTCGTATTGGTTTACTCGAGATTTTTCTTTTATATACATAAAAATGTTTACGATAAGGAACAACAAATATTTTATAGAAATAAAGCAGATAAAATTATGGACTATGAATATTTTGCAAACGGAAATAACTATCTTGGAATGTTTACATATTTAAATATAAATGTATTATTTTCAAAGTGGTGTTGTGTTACCAACGCCCTATACCTGATAATGATTTGCAATGTTCTTCACAGTCGAAAAGTTCACAAAATTCAGAAGCAGTGTTTCGGTTTTATAATATCGTAGAATTTAATTTATAAATATATAGTTACTATTCAGTTAATAGTTTGTAAGAAAGTGCTGATTTCCTATTTAAGGAAGTCTCCTATATATTTATATTTTACTTAATATTTTTAGCTTCATCTCCTCAGATACGGCATACATATACCTTAGGATTTCTGTGTATTTTGTTTTCCTTTTGCGGGCCAGACCAAAAATATGTGCACACAAACGAGCACATACTCCAGTATTTTGCATACTTACCTTAGTTTAATCCAAAATGTAACCACATTTCTGTACTTTGTGTAACTTCATAAAAATGAAAATTTACAGCGAATATCCTTTATGCTCATATGCTTTGCAGTAACTTCCCCGGCAGCAAAAACAGTATCTGGAGCAACAAGAAAATGCGATAAACGCTGCTCAGCTCGTTTCCCTCCCAGCTCCCTCGTTGCATCAACTTTTGTGGCTTCTGGAGAAGCGTGGAGCTGTTGCCCCCTGCCGACTTTGTTGCATCACAATGCCAAGGGCGGCGGCGGAAGGGTTGAAGCTGAATGCTGATTAGGTGTTGAGCGATTACGTGAAATGTTTACGCATTTTCTGAAATGGGTTAAAAGAGCTTCTGTGGGAGCTGCCAGCGAAGTTTCGTGCATGTTCAGCCACATAAAATCCAAAGTTCGTGCCAATGTCTGAAAGCCATAATACGAAGGATTCAAAATGGAGTCTGGCTATTTATATACGGATAGAGACACATTGGGTAAAATGATATACCAAATTGAATCCAGGGTAATATGATAATTAGCACTAATTGCTGGAGAATAAGTTGTAAAAGTTTCGATGAAATCTACGTATTCAGCGCTTTAAAAGGGAGTCATATGAGAGATCACAAAGGGCCTTGGATTTGAATCAAAAATCTATCAAATCTCAGCCAAAAATGCATTAATTTCAGTTTGGAAAACTTTCCTATGCTAGTTTTTTCTGACTTAACAAATCTGCATAATTAAAAAAAAATTAAAATTTTTGGTCATTTTAGAGAATTTTAATGATGTAACCCCTTATCAAATTTTCACAAATTTTGAGAAAATTTTATTTTCTTTGATTGATGGCTAGAAAGAAGCGCCTGTTAATGCTGATCAAGAATATATATGATTTATAGGGTCGGAAATGATTCCTTCACTGCTTTGCTAGCTTTTGACTGAAATTATAATACCCTGCAATGGTATAAAAAAGATATATGAATATAGCACACTTTAAAGTTCAAAGGAGTGTTAGCTTTTTCTTACAATTACTAAACATTCATAATAATGCGTAAATGCCGTTAACAAGAAAAATATAATTTATTTTATGCAAAAATGCCGCTTAACATGGTGAAAGAAAAGGAACAATGGCACCTTGACTCCAAAAATTCCTATAGGATTTTGACGAAAAATAACTTGCAAAACAACGAGCAAGTTGAAAAAGGTCAACACAAGTAACCAATCTCAATTAAAGAATGTATTGCCATGAACATTTTTAATGCTACGCTCACTTTCTCAAGTTGCGAATTTCATACAAATTTAATTAAAGTATTTTCGGGTAGTTCTGTGCAGGCAAGTGGAGAGAATCAAAGAGATTTATTTACCAAGCGTAAATTTATTTTCGTTTCCCCCACTTAATGACTTTATGCTGGCAGCGCCACCGTTTCTCAGACTGCGGAAGACATAACATATGTCGCCTCCGCAAACTCACACTCTCGAGCATCCTGCGAGCGGCAGTCGGGCTCCTTGAAGCGGTGTCTTAAATAAAGGTGCCACCGACTTCACTTTCGCCCTTCAAAAAATACATACACACCCCGCGACACCCGACTCGAATGTAAGTAGAGAGCTGGAGCTTCTTGACTTGCTCAGTTTCGTGGGGGGGAACAACAACAAGTTGTATAATTTCCTTTTCTTTACATTACAATTTCACTAGGGTTTTTGTTAAACGCATCTTCCCGCATCTACCGTTCAGCATCAAGCATCCTGCACACACAAACAGCAAGTTTGTATAAATATCCTTAGCTCCAGCGCCTGGCACGTATGAGGCTTAAGATACTTAAGGAGCATGTAATGCGAGTCCTTGCCAGCTCTTCCTCTCGCCCTCTCGCTGGAAAATGCAATTTTCACCTTGCATTGTCTGTTGCGTGCCAAGTAATTATTTTTCCCCCTCCTTGGCAGCCACTGCGAAAAATTACGAAATTACAAACATTTTCAGCTGCTCGTCCTTTCGATTCGGATGGCACTGTGTGTGTGCCTTGGAGTGCTTATATATTGAGTCTTATAGCATTGGTTTGCTTTTATTAATTTGCCTCGAGTCGGAAATGAAATATAAGCAGGGAAGCGTGCAATTGTTTCGTTTGAGGCGAACACAATTACATTTATTCCATAATAATGAGTAAATAAAATAGAAATTTACCTAAATCCAACAACGTCTTGGCCACACAGTTCTCGGCTTGAATCAAAGACTGAAAGGATTGAGGAAAGCCGGCAGTGGGCAGTGGCCAGAATAATTAAGATTGCCATTCGTTGCTCGCCTTCTGGTGGTTTATTTTCGCACATGCTTCAGGTGGCAATGAATTTTTGGTGCGTGGCTTGATTGTAAACTGGAGCATAAAAATGTTTTTTTCAAAATCCACACTACCTCGTCCAGTTCTTATGCTATAGCAACTGCATGCGCCTCGTGCAGTATATATATTTTGTGTTAAAAATGCATTTATTGTTATACCCACACACACACACATGTGGGTGCGGAGTGTGTGTGCATATTCCTGAGTAATTCCGGTTGGCGTTCGTCAGTATATTTGCGGTAAATGAAAAATGCAAGCGGTGTGCAAATACATACAATATATGTGCATATAATGGTATTCCCGCCGCAATGCCGTCGCGACGTCACTCTGCCAGTTGTTGCGTAATGACATTGACATGCTGCATGCTGTTGGCATACTTCTGTTGCTGTGCCTTTGCCCGCCACTATTTAAAATCCCTGAAAATGCACATCATTAGGAAAGGTGAGGCAAGGAAGCTCCATCTTCAGTTAAAGGTGCTCCTTCTGCCGCCTCAGCTCAACAAGTAGACTCCAGATGACACGGGCTCTTCTTTGAGATCTCCTCGGGCATCTGCCTTTTAATGAGCAGCGGCAAATGGCTTGCAGAGCATTTAAATAATTGATTATTTTGGTTTCGACAGTAACAGAGTT